CCACAAGAATAATCTTGATAAGTTCTGTAAATTTCTGAAACGAACTAAAGAGAAAGTCTCTCAAAATCTTAGATTCCATAGCCTCCCCCCAATTAGGGTTACAAGCCCTTTAGATAGGGAAAAGTAATTCTAATCAGAATAGGAAACTAACACCCTAAGCCCTAATCATAATAACCACGAATTGGGTCTCAAATAAATGAATGTTCAGCCCAAAATAATATAAAAAACGTGAAAATCACTAAAAGTAACCAAAAGTAACCTAAAGTAATATGAAATATCAGTTTGTTACAAATTGCGACAGAATTGCAGGATTTTGACGCAAACTGTGTAATTTAGCATAAATGACCTCAATTAAGCTTCTCTTGAACGTGAATGATGTTCATCATGCTTTGATAATCATCCAAGCTTTGATTTACTTTTTGCATGTTGTTATCAACCCAGATCTGCTCAATAAGGCCATTTAAAGCTTCTCGCATTTTCCTGGCTCTAGGTCTCGTGACTGGACCTCCTGGAATGTGTAATGGATCTCTTGACGTGGTGCATGTGGGGTCATCTTGATTCCCATCACCCTGCAATCGCTGATAGAGGCCACGGTAGTAGTGACTAGGAACAAATTGTTTTCTCATCACAGCTTTCATCTCTTCCCAAGTGTCAACAGGACGCTCTTGATTTCTACGTTGACTAAGCACAAGCTGATCCCACCACATCACAGCATAATTAGTAAATTCCACAGTTGCTAGTTTCACCTTTTTCTCCTCAGAATAGTTATGGCAATCAAACACCAATTCCACCTTCTTTTCCCACTCCAAATACACATCTGGATCATTTTTGCCTTGAAACAGAGGAATCTTCATCTTGATGCTACCTAAGTCATGATCTTGCCGATCTCCCCACCTCATCAGATTGTGCTCTCCTCAGTTAAACATACCTTTTTTTTATGCCTTCTACCTCTCATAAATCTGTTCATGCTAAAATTTGAGTTCTGGGCATCATTGTTGAATGCAGCTTCATAATATTAGTGTCATTCCTACACAAATTCGGACTTCCATTCGGTATTTGGTATAAATTGGCCATAGCTGCATCTTGCTTCTCCATTTTGTCTCTAATCTCACCAAACATGATATCCAGCCTCTGAAATTGTTGTTGCATTGCTTTGAGCATGAGAGATTCATCCACATGGTGTCTTCTAGTGGTTGATTTGTCATCACCGTTTGACATGATTGAAACCTGCAACGAATGTTAGAAACAGAAGAATAAAAGGACCTCACAACACTCCCTTACATGTTTCACTCCACTCTGTCATAGAATGGCACTCAATGCTCGTGTTTTGCATACTGTAGAACTTGGCTTTTTTCTCAAGTGTTGCTCACACCTCTTGCCTTTTTCCCTCACTCAACTTTCCTCTTTCAGTACGTTATTGAACTAAATAAGCTCAATTCAAGTTATTTTGCAGCAACCTAACTCCAACAAATCTGCAAGAGTTAAAGGAAACAAAAAGACACAAAGGAACGATCAAGAAAAGTAATAAAGGAACCAACCTAGATAAATTAAAACAAACAGATTAGCTCAAGCACTTCCTAGTAGGAATTGACTTGACTATTCTTTAATGCAGTAGGATTCTTAACTTACGTAGGAATAAACAAAATTGCTATCTTTTTCTTTGAATAGAACTCTAAGAGAATTTCCAACTCCTTATTGGAGTAGGATTCCTTCTTCTTTAAGGATTTGGCCACATATTTCTTCTCTATATAAGGAATTCCAACC